GCCGTTCATTTCAAGAATCTCATTTTAGCACGTTCTGTGGCAGTAGCTGCTATAAAAATGAGAGATTCATTTTTGTTTCTGAGTTAAATAGCGCTCCCCCTTTACAGGGGAAATATTCAGTATTATTTTGAATGTCATGTGGAATATGAGAGGATTGTCATCTATGACACATTACATATTCTTAATGTCTCATGACATTTTAACTTGTTGGATTTGCAGCCTCCTCAGATGAAAGGAATGGTATAGTCGATCTCAATCAAGGCAACCCTCATAATCTTCTATTGAGCATGTCAGGCCATCTGAAACACAAAGGCTGTAGCTATCTGCAACAGCCAGTACCACCGCTGTGCAGCCATTGCCATCCAGCAGATATCAAGTTAGATGGTTCTGTTAAGAGCTGTTCCAGGTCAACCACCGTGGATTTTTTTTGTTTGTTTCTTATTCCTTTCAGACTGTCATATTTTTGGAAGATTGAAACAATGTCATCTGGACTCACTGTTCTATTCAGTTCCAATCTGCTTCTTCCCTAAACATTTGCTTTCCCCGTCCCTTTTCAGGGACCCATCACACAAAGATCCTACCACAAGAAGTTATCATTCTGTTGTTTCCCACAGCCATATAATTCAGGAGAAAAAGCTTTCATCATTCTCTACCTCAGTCTTCAAAGAGAAAGAAGATGAAGAACTGCTTTGGATTTAGATTAAAGTACATTCACTTGACACCACAAGTTTAGGAATGCCATCCCTAACCTGAGTAATCCATTCCCCAGATTTACAAAATTGGTTCACACCTCTTGAACTTCAAGATTCATATCCACATCATGGATTTCAGTCCAAGAAGTTCATAGGAGATTTTGTAGTGGCAATACAAAACATGTTTGATAAAGAGTTCTTCCATTAAACTCATGAACAGTCCCAAAGGTGTTTGTGAAACATGTAGCAGTTGTTGTGGTGTCCTTCACAACAGGACACTGGAGTTTACCTTTCCTCAGTGATAGGATGATTCTGGGTATGGCTTCTCAACAAGTTTTTTTGTTATATTTGCCAACAGTTTGCCAATGTGGGGCTCAGAATAAACAAAAAGACACCTCTGTTGAGTCCATCATGAGAAATCTTACAGGAACTCTTCTGAATTCCATCATAGCATATCTACCTTGACACAGATTTGTGATCATGACATACACTATAACTCATT